GCAACTTCTGTCTTAAAGCTACCATTTATTGCACACTGAGCTATCAGATCAAACCTGTTGAATGTTGTAAAAATCTTGTATGCTCTCAGCTAGTTTGTACTGCAGCCCCCTGGGGCTGATGATAAAACTTGTCTATAGCAGTGCAGTACAGAGGAATGGTCTTCCTGGCAATGAGCACAGGGGCGGGGGGGGAGGGGCAAGGCTTTAAAAATGAAGACTAGAGATAAATCCACTCAGTAAACTCAGATCTCTTGAATGATGGAGCTGGGCTTCTCTACAGCTCCCCCCACCATAATGTAAAAATAGTTTTAAAAATGGCAGGAAGGACCAGTGATTTTATGCTTGAAACTAAAATGTTTACTAAGGCAAGCTGGTTTTTTGTGGTTGCCATTTTGTCTTACTGCTTTATTTACTGAGGGAAGCTAATGTGCATAGGGACCATCCTGTTCCATACATGTCACAGGCCTTTTAAAATGCTATGCTGTTTTCTATTTTCCAGGGGGCAGCACAGGTACCTCTCCAACAACCTCCAGCACCGGGACTCCATCACCCTCAGCTTCTTCTCATCTTCTCTCTCCATCCTGCTCTCCTCCAACCTTTCATCTGGCCCCCAATACTTTTAACGTGGGCTGCCGGGAGAGCCAGCTGTGTAACCTTAACCTGTCTGATTATCCCCCATGTGCCAGAAGCAATATGGCTGCCTTACAGAGTTACCCTGGGCTGAGTGACAGCGGGTACAATCGGCTGCAAAGTGGCACTGCTTCTGCCACTCAGCCCTCAGAAACTTTCATGCCTCAGAGGACTCCATCCTTGATCTCAGGAATGCCAACTCCATCCTCACTGCCTAGCAATGGCAAGATGGAAGCCTATGGTGGCCAACTGGGGTCCTTCCCAACCTCTCAGTTTCAGTATGTCATGCAAGCAGGCAACCCTGCCTCCACCTCTTCTTCTTCACATATGTTTGGTGGTGGCCACATGCAACAGGGCTCCTACAATGCCTTCTCCCTTCACAACCCTTACAATCTGTATGGATACAATTTCCCTGCCTCCCCTCGGCTGGCAGCAAGCCCAGAGAAACTGACCACCCCCCAAAGCACTTTACTCTGTTCCTCCCCTTCCAATGGGGCTTTTGGAGAGAGGCAATATCTTTCAACAGGGATGGATCATGGGATGCACATGATCAGCTCCCCACCCAGCAACCAGCAAACAGCCAATGCCTGTGATAACAGGCAGTATGGGGCTGTTCAGGGTTCCTCCTCACAGATGTCTGTGCACATGGTTTAACCAGCAAGCTGTCTCCTTGGAATCACAGACGACAAGACTTTGTTGTCTCCCCAGTTGACCCCGCCCCAATACTATTTTGCCTTTAAACTTATAGTGGAACTAGTTTGTTAATGATATATGAAGATACAGGTCATCCAAATACAAACCAAAGAACCCCATGGAAAGCCCCAACCTGACAGCCACTGCCACTCATTGTAATCCAAGGCCTTAGCATCTGGAATGGAGCATCTATTCCTAATGAACATGATACAGAAAAGGGCATTGTTTAAGAGAAGCCAGAGTGAAGCATAAAAAAAAACTAATACATGGTACATGCATTTACTGTCAATGAGCATGAACTCTGGTTGTTGAAGGAATCTTGTATGTGTGTTCTGTCCTTCTATGTCCAAGGAAGGATGCCACTAAAGAATTCATGACACAAAGCTGCGCTGCCCATGCAAGGCCATCTTTTTCAAGGCCTCCTCCCCCCTTGACTATCTTTTGCTGCCTGAGTGGTTTAACAATAACAACCTCAAAAGTTAATACAAGTCCTGCGGCTCCCTCTCCCCACTGTAGTAAAAGAACTTCATGGCTGAACTGGAACTTCTCTTCCTTAAGAGATTTTTACTTTTTGACTCTGGCTGTGCCTGACAGGCAATGTCTTTGCATAGGTCAAGCTCTCAAAGTGCCAAGCCTGCATAAAGAGAGAGAGAGAGAGAGAGAAAGAAAAAGAGAGTGAAGCTGTACCACACAATGGAACCTCTCTGCCCTATGTAGGGATCCATGTTCAGAATGCTGCATAAGGGAAGAGGGGTCTCAGTGCTGTGCCTTCTGTTGATGTTACTCAGAGCAATAAAGAAACTATAGACTGTGCTTGGAATATATCTGTCTGCAGAACATTCAGCTCAACAGGAGGAGAATCTCCAGACTGAGCATATGGTGAACGGTAGAAAGAAGAGGGGATCTGTTCTCCTGCAGACCCCAGATGTACAATATGGCTGACCTCAGCCACCTTGCATGTACAAGTTGCCATAGAAAACCATGCAGGTATTTTCTGTCCTCCAGCCTGCTATTTGATCTCTGTTTTACCAAATAGATCATTGACTTGTTAATTTTTTTTTTCTTTTCTGTTTTTTTTCTTCTTTAAAAAAAAAGAAAACAATTGTAGCTTGGTGCAATCTAAGCATTTAAGTTGTGTGAAAATGCAAATACCAAGTAACAGAATACAGATATTATTAAGATTTGTTTTGAGGTGTTGTAGATAAATGTATTTATGTGCCTAGTGGGGGATTCAATACTATGAGTATAAAAGAGGGCAATAAAAATGGTATGTAAAATATGTATGAAGAGAAAGGTGTATAAAGATTTGCCCTATGCACGGAACTTTGTTTCTAAGTGCCAAGCACAAAAGCGCTAAATAAATCTTTGCAATTGTTCCTTATGTGTTCTGTTTGTATGTAAGAATCCATAGTCTGTGGACATCAAATTTTAAAAGAAACAGCAAGTTTTTATGTGCAGAACCCAAGAATTGCAGCCATCTATATAAAACTAAGGTTCCCATGCATGGAAAAAGAAAATTAAGGGGAGACACAAAAGCAGTCTTCAAATATATGAAGAGCTGCCTTAAAGAAGAGACAGACCAGACCACCTTTTCTCCATCACTGGGCATGTCTATATGTGCATTTATGCCAACTTAAATTTACTGCATACTAAGTTACTGCACAGTAAGCAGGAATAGGCTGGTATCTACATGTGCAGGTGTTAAAGCACATTAACACACAGTGCTACTACGCAGTAAGGTGTCTACACATGCGTTACTGTGCAGTAACTAATCGGGCCTAAATTTGATACCTGAATGATGCAGGTATCAAATTTACGCTCAAATTGATGTAATTCACCATATATACTGTGCAGTCTGGGCATGCACAACTAGATGTGCACCCATACTGCACAGTAATTTCAGTTACTGTGCAGTAAATGCGGACACGTAGACATGCCCACAGGGTAGGGAGCAGAAAGTACAGCAGCAGATTGGGCAGAAAAATGGGATTAGAGGGCCCTATGGGAGGGTACAGGCATTAATTTTTTTAATCAATGCCTGCCAAATAATGCCTGCCAAAAAAAGTTGGCCTCTACCTCAAGTCCCTTCCAGCCCTAATTTTCTATGACTTCCTCAGAGAAGATGATAAGCTTTAAGTGGCCAGCTGACAACAATGCACACAGCAGCAATTCCTTTACACAATAACAACTTCCTAACATTTTAAAAAAATATTAGACCACCTTTAAAAGGTGGAGAGGTATGGCAGGGAAACTCTGCACCTGGGGCAGCCGCAACCCACTGGGCAGTGCCAGCTACTGTGGTGCTAATCACAGTGGCACAATTATGTGTTGCTGCGCTAACAGTTACTTTTGTACTCCATCATAAAGCTGGTGCCAGGGGCTGCTGCCCCTCTTGCTCCCTCTCATTTATGCTACTGGTTCCAATGGTCAAATATACACATACTATCAAATGCCCATTTTTGATTGGAAGAGGTCTTATATGCAGTGGTTTCTGGAATTCTCATTTTTAAGTTTCAACACAACTGGCAAATGTACTTCAAAAGGTATTTTTCATAGCTATTTTTAAATGGTCATAGATCGTTACAGATAATTTAGTGTTTTTTGTAAATTTTGTCTGGGTTTCTTCAGCTTGTCTGTTACATTACATCTCCAAGCCATGGGGAACCTGAAAAAATGCAGTTTTGCACTGTGTAGCTTTTTGATGTGTATACTAAATGAGAAACAATTTTTTAATAGAAAACTGAACCTGTAGGAAAGAAAATGCTTTGGAAGTTAATTCACTAGACAGTTTTTCACAGAGGCATCTACAAATTATTTTTCTGGACTTGAGGCATAGTCTATTAGTTTGGTATCCTTTGTCTAAAGGTAGTTAACTATAAATGCTTCAGAGGCAGGGGAAAGACACTGCACAGTAAAAGATGTGGGGTAATCTTCCTGCCCCAGTATCTCCCCGTAAACTTTATATATTAGTTCTTGGTTAATCCCAGAATTGGTGGTGGTGGTGTTGTGGGGGGTGTTAAATATATATTCCAAAATTCTTTATAAGCTCTTACATAAATATCCAATACCTCTTTCCATCTTGCTAAGTTCTTGGCTTCAATAATATCATGACAGAGAGCTCTAAATCTGTAATATCGTTTATCCTGAGGATGGTGGGGGAGGACTTCATATTGTATTCTAGATAAGGGATGACATTGCTTTATATAATAGCATTGTAACCTTGTGTGGTTCATTTCCCCTACATTCTTTCTTTTCTTACATTGACCCATGGTGTTTATTTAGCATCCCACAGTTACACCCAGGTCTCCCCTTTCCTGAGTCAAACAACTAATTTAAAATATATCAAAATGTGAATAGTTTTTCTTCCCTATTATGAATTTATTTTCCTTGTATGGACATTGGATTTTATTTCCCTTTTCCCAGAGTTGCTAACAAGTAGTCTGAACCCTGAAGCACACCATAGTTGGCATGTTGCCAGGATGAAAACTGACCATTTATTCATATGTCTTGCTTTCTGACTAAGGGAGCACTGTTAATGGAAGATAAATATCCTTCTGTATGTTACCTTAAGGCAGGAGTGTCAAACACATGGCTCATGGACTGCATCTGGTCTGCAGAACCATGTCATCTGGCCTGCTGGGATAGAGGGGCTGGGAATTTGGGGGCAGAGTGAGATGGGGCAAGGACTGCCACCAAATTCTGAGGATAGGGAGCTCTGGTGGGAATGTGTTTTGGCTGTGGTAGGATGAGCAACATATGTGTTAAGCCCTGCAATTCCCAGAGCCAGAACACTGGCTTAAATACCTGTGATAGTTAATGCTGTTGCTTTTTGCCTTACCTCTGCAGGTTGGTCTTGTTCTGTACCACAAGGAACCCCACTGTCCAGATCCAGCCCAGGAGACTGAAAGAGTTAGGCACCCATACTTTAGGGGGAACATATCTTTAAAAGTCAAATGTGTCAACTTGATAAACTGGATGAATTACTTTTTAAATTAAAAAAACAAAATAACATCCAGGGAGAAAAAGTCGAGCAGACAAAAAAACCTAAAAATGTGTCCCTTAAGGAAAGTTAAAAGAGAGCTTCTGGGGCAGAGCACTGGTTAGAAAGAGGCTTGGAACTGAGCAAAAAAAGGTCATGTTTTTACATTCTTTAAAAAAAAAGCCAAATTGCATCACTGGAATACCTAATGCTATCATATTTTTCTCCTTCTAATGGAAACAGCATGACCATGAATACTGATCACTTGAGCCAAAAAAGCTATATAGATGCAATGTTTTGTATCATTATTCAAGAACACTACCATAATAGTTCATTTCTATTTGGGTGGGTGTTCTGTGAACCACTGGTGGTCCAAAGAGTATTTACTGGAGGTGGCAGATAGCTGATTGGTCAGTGTTTGGACTGTTTCTCCCAGGTTCCAACTGGAAAGCAGTATCAAGAGACAGCTGAAAACACATGAAATACTTTCTGAATGTTTTCCCATGTTAGCAACTACAGTTGCTGCCATAGGGATGTCATGTTTATAATGGTAGGAGAGGTCTCTAGGAGACAATAGCTTTTTAAATATTAAATGTACATTTTAAAAAAGAATACAAAACGGAGATGAAAATACACTTATGAGAACAGAGTAAGAGCCATGTTGTGAGAGACTTGTAATCTATATAGTCTCTATGTTGTATAGTAGCCAATATAAAATGCTTTACAGAGAAGCATTAAAGCCCCCATAACATAATTAACTACAATATTCTATCTTTGGATGGGTGGTCTTTTTTTTCTGACTAAGCTAGGGATCATCTTATACCCTGGAACAGAAGGATTAACAGCCTGTGTAATTTTACACTCAATAACGTTCCTGCAGATGCTATTCTTATTTGAATATTCTTCTACTCCTGTTTTGCTTAACTATGTTACATGACTGCCTAGTAACAGACTACACAGATACAAGGTAGCTTTCATCCAAGCATCTTATCCTGTGAGAAACAGCACTAGAACTTTGTTACTTCATAGAGTCATAAACTCAGAGACAAATAGGCTGTGTCCACACATAGTGTGGACATTCAGTTCCCCAGGGACAACTAACAGCAGCGCACCTTGCATCGCTGCTAGCATCCCTGGGGAATGCCCGTGCCATGTGCTCTCTGGCGTACAGCAAGTTACACTGGGTGGGGTAGGGGAGGCTGGGGCTGGCACTGGGCTGGCCTCTGCAGCCTTACTTGGGGTCCCAGGGGCCTCTTGAGGCTGCAGTCACATCGCTCCTGCCGTGTGGAGCCTGGCCGGTAGGGGAGTGTGGCTCTGGCTGGCCAAGCTCTGGCTTTGGGCAGTGCACACTGCCACGGTGTGTGCCACTCCACTTTTTTTTCCCCCGATGGGTTTTTTTGAACCCTAGATATCCAGGGGTCAAAAAACCCCTTTGTGCTACTCCCTTGCAGCATGGAGAACAACTGAATATGTGGCATGTGGCGCCACCTACTGCACGACTGTGCTGATTTGGATGCAGCCATAGGGCTGGAAGGACCTCAAGAGATCACATAAGTCAAGCACCTGCTCAAGGCAGGATAACCCCTGTCTAAGACATCTCATCCAAGTGTTGGTTTAGCCTACTAGTTAAATTTTTTTTTAAAAGTATGAAGTTTCCACAATCAGGATAGTCTGATCCATGCTTAACCACCCTCAAAGTAAGAAACTTCTTTCTGACATAGAACCTAAATTTCCCTTTCTGCAATTTAAGACAAATTAAGTCTCTTTCTGTGTTTCCTGTAGCCAGAGAGAATAATTCTCTTTATAATAACTCTTCAGCTATGTGAAGACTGTTATCAAATTTCCCCTTGTTTTCTCTCCTCCAGACTAAAGGTCCCCAGTTCTTTCAACCATTTCTCATATGTCATATTTCCCAGACCTCTAATAATTTTTGTTGCTCTCTGCTGGACTATTCTTAATTTGTGTATGTCTTTCTTGAAGTGCATTGTCCAAACTGGACACTGTGGGCATGTCTACACATTCATTAATGCACTTTTGTTACAGTGCATTAAGTTTAGTACCTCTAATATCAGGTACTACATAAAGATGCATTAGCCCACGCTAATGAACAATAACAAAGGGAAATGTTTGTTTTGTGATTCCTAATGACAGTAGACTAATTCTACTGCACAATAGCATATTAGCACAGTTTTTGCCATGATGTGCTAATACGCAGTAGAATAGGCTACTACACATTATGGCATCTCATGAAGGCACACCCAAAATTATTGATAAGGCCTCACTAGTGCTGAGTTCCAGTTACCTCAGGGCTTTATCTCCAAAGCTTCCAAACATTGTTCTGGGGCATGCAAGCTTTCGGGCAAAAACACCCTTCTTCAGGCATAGGGAGAGTCTGCT